TCCTTTTACATGGCACTTGGGGGATCCCTATAGAGCATAATTATTCGATATATCCCCCATTAGCTTGAATTATGGCCTCTATTTTCTGTCTGAAGCGTTCACACGCACGCTGCAATGTAGCGCTGTCCATGCCGACAAATGCCGCCTCAATAACGGTCCTTCATGACGTCACGTTGGGATGCCGAGACTTGTTAGTGACCCTTTCAACTACGCTCCATACATAGTAATCCAGGGGATTTAAATCTGGGCTGTTGGGAGCCCTTTTGACGACTGCGGGGTTCCTCGCGGTGCGTTCTTTCGAGTGAATCTTCCTCGCTGGCATACTAGAATCTTCATTGGACTGTTCTGAAGCCGTATATTTTGCCACAATGTCATAAACAGTTAATCTCGGGTATCCAAAAAACCGAATTATTTCAGTTGTTGAGCTCCCAGCGCGAAGGCCTTCGATGATCGCGGATCTTCGGTTATACTCCGCACTTGGTTTCAACATCGCGGCCATTTTGATAATATAACTGTTTACTACAAACATCAAGTTTTCTTGGACGCCAACAACAACCACTGGCGGAGGCACAATATAGCGAAAAATTTAAATTGAAATTTGTCCGGATTTTGATGCCGCACCCTGTAGAAGTATATACATACATACATACATACAGACACATATTGTAATACTCAAAAAATTCTAATATTTCGTGTAAATATATCTGCGTGAATATCTGAGCATGAGAAATTTGTATCTCTAATTGTTATATTCAGTTTGATTCTAACATGTAACTGTATATAACTGTATAAGAATACATATTAGTGAATATGTACCATTACATTTTATGCGTATTATAATGTATAATTGCATACACAAAAAGTATTATTCTAGAATTGCACTTATGCATCTATATGCAATAATAGAATAATATTTTGTGTACACTGATCTATGTGCACACATTATTATATAAAATGTAACTGTACTTCATATTTACTAATGTCTGTTTATGTAATAATAAAATTAAACTGTATGTATACATATACACACATTATACGATACACATAAAATTCTAATATTATGTATAAATAGATATACGGAATATCTGCATGAATATTTCAGCATGTGTAATGTCTATGTCTAATGTGCGTATATTCACATAATTACGATAAACATGCATTATTCTAATGTTGTACATATAAATACAAATATAATATTACTGATGTATTCATATGTACAACATTAGAATAATGCATGTTTATCGTAATTATGCGAATATACGCACATTAGACATAGACATTACACATGCTGAAATATTCATGCAGATATTCTGTATATCTATTTATACATAATATTAAAATTTTATGTGTATCTTATAATGTGTGTATATGTATACATACAGTTTAATTTTATTATTACATAAACACAGACATTAATAAATATAAAGTACAGTTACATTTTATATAATAATGTGTGACATATACACACATAGATCAGGGTACACAAAATATTATTCTATTATTGCATATAAATGCATAAGTGATACATATGCAATTCTAGAATACTTTTTGTGTTCGATAGCATTCGTTTGATTAAAATGTGTCACTCGGAGCGGAATGAGACTCACACTTTGTTTCATATAAGTAATTACTACATTTGTATTTAATATGAAGTCGGTCGCTATTGCTGATCGTCGAACAACGGTATGATTACTTTCGAATAACATTAACCCTGAATTATAATTGTACGCAGAGAGATCGTGACGCATCGACTCTTGCTCCCAATAAAACCATCGATTCACCCCGAAAGCATCGTGATTATATTAATAAGATGTGAAATCCCAGTATCAAGTATAAATTATGTTAGTTTAAGACACAGAAACTCACCCCTGTACTGACATTAAATCACAAAACTTGAGTGTAATAACTCAATCCCCCAGTGATGAATATTTCGTTTGTGAATTAAACGTTCGAGAGATATCATATCAGTGGATATACTGGGAACTTATCGATGTGAATCGAGGAATCACCATCACTTGCAACTATTGGATACCACCTTACTTAGTTAAAACCTTAAATAAATCTTATTACTAATGAGCATGAATAATTAAACTTAAAGTTAGAGGTTATAAGGAAAGCTAACCGAGGCTGGTTGATTGAGTATTAGGTTAGCATTAAAATAAGATAATTGATTAACGATGATAATACATTGCGGAACAGGAACTAAGCTAACGGTACGATCATCCGTTGAGGAACTTTGGATGACTA